CATGACAGGTACCAACCAGATCAGAACTGACTCGCAGCGCCTTCACAAACTCAAGCGCACTCGCTGAGTCCAACCCTCGAGTGCTGTTATCCCAGGCGCCGACAGGGGCCCTCGAGACTATTAGAAGTCAATACATGAAGATACACTGGGTAAGCATCATTCACTTACGTGCCATTTCAGCAATGCTAAGAGCATGTCAGTACAACAGCTGGAAATGAAATGTCGGTAGAGGGGAACCAACCTGACCCGTTTTCTTTCTCCACCCGAAACTCCTCTAATGTAGTCATCGCCAACTATACCTTTGTTAGCAATTTCCGAGGTTGGGGGCTTTTGGTGGGAATGCATACCTTTCGTATTGTACGTATGTGTTAAGCCAAATATAGTCATCGCAACTTGAGTAACGTACTTTGCGTATCGCTGACGAGTGATATCGCGCAACCGTACCTCAGGAGCTCTTGCAGCAGCGGCAAATTCCAGTGTTTGTCCGACTGTGAGGTGAGGAAAGTGCTTGTCCACTTCTTGATTGTAAAGTACCTCGCCCTTGAACTCCTTATGCATTTTCTCCATGGAAATACCGTTATATTGGATCTCAGAGCTTTTACGAAGCTTCAATCCGTGTAGCTCTCCACACAAAGACTTCAGAAATGTCGAACATCCGCTCCCAGGACGGCCCAAGACTATCAGCAGCTCACCACTTTTCAGTAGCCCGTCGAAGTCACGTAATATGTGCTTCTCTGGTGAGTGCTTTAGAAAGCCCAGGTATTCCTGCGGCCTAAACGGGGCCAGCAGCAACGAGGGCACGCTGCTCTGATATTGCAGGGCTGAGCCGGAGCCAGAGACATTCAGATTGTGGAAGACTATACCAGTGGAGGGAGGTCGGGGAATGCCCTCTTTGTCCAACAGCCTGAGCACCTTCCGAACCCATTTGTTGTGGTCGAATTGACCACTCGTTGGATCTAGAACAGGGTCTCCCATTTCCAAGTTCTCAACAGTATCTTTGCGTTCAATGCTCGCCCCGCCAACGCCTGAGTCGGTAGTTTGACGCCGGGTGAAGGTGGACTGATAGTTGGAAGCTATGCGAGTCAACTCGGCTTTGCGCTCGGGGCCCGTTTGCTCGAAGAATGTGCTATTTTCACGCTCCAGCTTGGGCGATCTGAGGGGAGTGATCTCGTCATCCTGACCGTTTTCCGCCGAGGAGGTGGGCGAGATGTCACTGGTCTCTCTGTTGTTGGTCATGGTCTGAGGTGCTTAGCGTTCAACCAGGGGCCGGTAAATCGACGCTAATGACGAGACAGAGGAAGTAGAACGATGAATGCGGCGCGTAGAAGGAAATAATGTCAGTTAGGAAGAGGTCAGAGGGTGAGACGGTATATGAACTGCTTCGCTCGCCGAGGTGAAGTGCCCCACCAAGGCAACAGGGATTGCCCATGAACAGCAGGGGTACTTATTTTGCACAGTACATGGCAGGGTAGAATCTCCTTTCATCCACTGCCGGTAAACTGATTAAACTTCTTCACTTTGAGTGTTGGTTATTAGTGGTGATGTCATGATAAACCATGTGTAACAATGGACCAATTGTGGTGACGAGGAGCGAATTAGTTAGGTAGCATCCACAAGGAACCTACCTTGAACTTGGAACCTCCCTTTGAAAGCAAGCATCGGAAATCAGCTCCTAAGCCGAGCCGCTCTGTGTTCTGAGTCTGAAGGGAAACTGCGTCAGAAAGATCCGGATGCGGAAGATCCGTCTAGGCTCCAGGCTTGCAGATAACTAACTGTCCTTCATGGTCCCTGTCGTTGCTACCCAACCATATGGCTGGCCCTGCTCCCCTGACGGCTTTGAGCGGAGCTTAAAGTCCTTGTACCTATTGTGGGTGATTTACAGGGGACACAAGTAATAATACTCCTTATTCTAGAGCTCGCAATAGCCGTGTTGTGTATGCTTGGCAAGTTCAGACTTTGTGTGTAGGAAGATGGCGCCAGAATGATACAACCTGCTGTAATCGAAGAACTAGAACCTTGTAAGATACACATGTGGAAAGCACTATGGGGCCATAGCAGCTTGACGAAAGGTCATCATGGACTCATACGATATCTTGTGAAGTATGGAGGTGCTGTAGATCCCCCAGTCTCGGAACGGAGTGGAGTGTCAAGTAAGCGGATGTTCTAAAAAGTATCCGATTATGTAACAATGCACATAAAGTCTCATAGGGCTATCATAGACTCTACGGCGAAAAGGCTCCTTTTTTCCATAAGGCAATCCCCCCAGCAAGACCCAGTGCGCCGTCAATAGCCTGGCAGCACAATCCATGGGACCAACCAAGAACTTGACCCATGAGGAAAGTAAATTGGAAAAGCCGCACCAATCCTCATCTCACGATAATTTTGGGAGAGGACTACTGATAGTAATTTATTGATACTGTACTCCGTATGTTCCAGAGCAATACACACACACACCTACGCATATCAGAGACCGGCGTGCAGCAGAATCCGCCTCTTGGCAATGACGCAGCGCCTTCAATCGATCCGCGAGCTTCGGTGCCTTGCCCTTTTTCCCTTTTTCCCGCTTCCCCGCCATGAGGCTGCGTGTGCCGGTAACCGAGACGGAGGCAAAATCTCCAACCTGAACTATTCCTACGTAGCAACAATCTGACTCAACAAGCGTGGTTTTCACTCTTGACTGTCGCTACTTCTTCCCCTGCTGAAGCTCGAATCGCGTGTCTTACCGCACGCTCGCTCCTCCACTTATCGACCGGCCTAGATCGTCATTGTAAACGATTGGTGCCAACACCTGAACAGCACGCTTGCAAGCACCAGCCACAACAGATCGGGTATAATAGGCGACCAACTATCATTTTTTGCTGCTGTCCGGGGGCATGATTCGGCTTCCCATGTTCTTTATCGATTTCTTGTGCTCGGTAGACTTTGATCCTGATTCGATTAGTAGGTATAGCCTATGGCCAAGGCAGGACGAGTCTCCACTCTGGCTATTCTGACTTCACCGCTCCCTGAAGACCCGAACTTTGCTTCCAGGAAAGACATCCCTTTGTTTTTTTGATTGATTCTGTGGAATGTCAATTGTCTCTAGACAACTAGTGCAAAGTTTGGGATCTCGGCAATGGCAAGCGAACTTTTGTCTCCCCGACACACGCGCAATCGTGGGGACGAAGGATATCGCACACCGACGATCGAAGATACACAGAATGATCTCGGGGCGTTTCCATTCCCGTCTCGAGGGAGCCAAGTGCGCGAGGCGCATACTTCGGCTCTTGAGGCGCTGAACCAACCTTCGTATCAACGGACTGAAGCGCACGGCAACAAAGAAAAACGCCGGCGACGAGAAGGGGACTGGGCTACGGCTAAGATTGGATGGAAAGGCAGACTTCGTCACTTCACATGGGCCTATTTCACGTTAACCATGGCTACGGGTGGGATTGCGAACGTTCTGTACTTTAGTAAGTAAAGTCTTCTCACCCTGAACAATCGCTTCGTAAATTGATCTCGCCATAGTTCCATATAGATTCCGCGGCTTGGAGACGATTGGCATTATATTCTTCCTTCTCAACTTGGTCCTCTACGTTATCATCTGGTGTCTGCTGCTTATGCGCTTTTACTTATACCCCTACACGTTCAAAGCATCGTTCTTGCATCCGACGGAGTCTCTGTTTGTTCCTGCATCTTTGGTTTCCTTTGGCACGATCCTGATCAATATCTCGCAATATGGACCCGACCATACCGGGCCGTGGCTCACATATGCGGTGGGGATTCTCTTCTGGATTGACGCCGCTCTAGCCGTCATCTCTTCTGCAGCCATCTATTTAATCCTGTAGATGAACCCCAGACGTCCTTTCCTTTGGCTGCAAAGCTAATGTTTTCCCCGCGCAGGTGGTCAACACAAACGTTCACGATCGCTCAGATGACACCCATCTGGATTTTCCCCGCATATCCTATGCTAATCATCGGCCCGCACGCGGGAGTCCTAAGCTCAACCCTCGAGCCCTCTCGCGCTCTGCGCATCATCATCGGAGGTACGACCATTCAAGGCGTGGGCTTCCTCGTCTCGTTGATGGTCTACTCCGCCTTTATCTACCGGCTCATGTCCCAAAAGCTCCCTCGGGAGAACGTCCGCCCCGGAATGTTCGTATCCGTGGGCCCCAGTGGCTTCACCGTGTCGGGCATCGTCAACATGGCGTCCCACGCGAAGCGAAGCTTCCCCAGCGACTTTATGGGCAACGGACCTCTCGCAGCGGACATTGTGAAGGTCGTCGCAGATTTCTCGTGCTTATGGCTCTGGGGGTAAGTGCATACCATCCCTGAACCTTTGTCTTTTGCGCCAGCCAAGCCAACGTTTCCTTTCTCTAGACTAGCGCTTTTCTTCTTCTTTATCGCGAGCTTCGCGCACTGGTCAGCGATCGGACCGGGGAAGATGGTCTTCTCCATGGCGTGGTTCTCGTTCGTATTCCCGAACACAGCATTGATCACGGCGACCTTTGCGATTGGGAAGGCTTTCTCCTGCAAGGCGATCAATATCATCGGATGCGTGATGGTTCCGCCTCTGATCTTGATGTGGCTGTTTGTGTGCTACATGATGGTTCGGGCGATCGTAACGCGCCAAATCCTCTGGCCGCAGAAGGGCGAGGATAAGGATGAAGGCGGATTCGAGATCCGTCAGATCAAGCCCGAGTCAGGGCAGAGTACACCTTCTGAAGATGTCTGACTGTTCGGACTGTCTGGGTCCAACCTGGCTTGATGCACATATACCTGTAATGATTGAGTATATACTAGACACTTAGAAGTAATGAGCTACAATACTTCCTCGGTGGGCTACACCACTGGCCTGCCTGCAGTCCAGTCCATTCCTCAAACTAAAAGCCCCACACGCGCCCCACCGCCCCAGTCCCTTCCCGCCTACCAATCAACAGCCCCTCAGAAACAAACACTGCAAACACCGACACAATCTCCCAAGAAAAAAAAGTGTAGTGATGGGATGGCTTCAAAGTCCGCGCCGTATTGCGACCAACTTCCCCTCCTTGTCAACGCAGCCCACTCAACTCTCCCTTCCGGCGATCCCGCGATAAGTCCTGTCGCCAGTGACCTACCCTCGGAATCTCTCCCTCTCCGGTCCAGATACACCAGCACACGACTCCTCAATCGCGCAGCTATCGCACCGGAAAACCGAGTCACGATGACCGACGTCGGCAAAACTCCTTTTATAAAGGAGCTCGCATCCAGCGGTATGCCTTTCACCCCACAAGCCAACCTCCCTCACACGCAAACTAACAGGCAACTAGACAAAAAACTCCGCGACAAAGCCACCGCCTCCCTCACGCTCTTCCTGCGCGCCAAAACCGACCTCTCGAACCTCGACCTCCTCAAACTCTGGAAGGGACTTTTCTTCTGTGCGGCAGCCTTTTCCCTTACAAACCTACACATCCCCCCTAAAAGCCCCATTTGAAGGGGAGAAAAAAAAAAAAAAAAAAACCAGGAACGGAATGAAAGACTGATGCACTAGAAAAAAAAAACAGGCTTCTACCACTCGGACCGCCCACTGACCCAACAAGCGCTCGCGCGCACGCTTTCCTACAACCTCGTGCCGACGCTGCCGCGCACAACAGTCCACAAGTTCCTGCGCGCCTTCTGGCTGACCATCGGCCGGGACTTCCACTCGATCGACCGCCTGCGGCTGGACAAGTACCTGTTCCTGATCCGGTGTTACGTCGGGGTGGGCTTTGAGGTGTTCCTCAAAGCCAACAAAGGCATCGGAAACGGGGCTGGGGCCGGTGACGCTGCGGAGGGGAAGAAGCGCAAGCGGGAGGAGGAAAATTCCAAGAAGGGGGGCAAGAAGCGGAAGGGTAAGGGGCAGCAGCAACAACAGCAACAACCAGAAGAGGAACAACAGCAAGACACAAAGACCGAGGGGGTGGATTTGGCAGCGCTGGAGTCCTACCTCGCCATCCTGGAGGATGGACCGCTCTGCCCCCTCAATTTCGACCCGGATCAGCCCCCGGCCAACGAGGCGGAGGATTTCGTCCCCATGCCGCACGGCCCGGATGGGTTGCGGTACCATGTGATGGATATCTGGGTGGATGAGTTGGAGAAGGTGCTGGAGTTCGAGGAGGTCACGACGGCGGAGGGGACGACGGCCAAAAAACCCAAGGGCCCGGTGCCGGCGGAGTTGCTGTTGCGGCCGCTCGAGAGGTTGAAGAAGGAGAGCCCGTACAAGCCGGTGCGGGTGCGGGCGGCCGAGGCGTTGGACGATGAGCGGTTGGTCGAGTGGGGGTGGAAGGAGCGGAAGGTCGAGAGTGATAGCGAAGATGAAGATGAAGACGAAGAAGACGAGGATGAAGATGAGGAATGGGGTGGGTTCGGGGATGAATAGATGAGCACGAACAACGTAAACAAAAGTGTCTTACTTCGCCAAAGGGTAAGGGTTGACTCGGAGTTAGGTTCATGTACCGTACTTGCATATGCTATGTTTTTATTTTCTTGGAAGTTATCCTTGTTTGTTTCTCCGTTCCTGCAAATGCGGAGATTGAAAATTGAATGATTTATAACAATATCTATACAAACTCTATCAGCTACCAATTCTCTCTTCTCTAGGTAGTCTACACTATGTATGTATCTTGTCAGGAAAGGTTGATCCAACCCAAAACAGAAAGCAAGCCAGTGCTTCTCTCAAAACTCAGGGTATCATCGGAGTGCAAAAACTGGAAAACAAAACTGAAGCAAAAAAGGTGGAAATTCCCAGTTCCATCGACCGGTTCGGCCCCTAAGGCCTGGGTCCCTCTGCCTCGTACAAGTGTCCGGACTTCGACAGCACGGTGCCGAGACCTTTGTGGACCTCCCCCTGGAAGGCCTCAAAAGGAATGCTCTCCCCATCCACACTGATGTATCCCTCCTTCTCCCGAGGGACAAGTCGGTATGCTAACGCCTTGCGGATATTGACTTCGGGCATATCAAAGAAACCTCCCTCGGGGATCTCGGTCATCATTTTGAGAGATCTCAGTCGACCAACGGTTCCATCGATGGTGACGATGTCCATAAGCCCGTCATTAGGCACTGATGCAGGGAAGAAGTTGGTATCTTTCGACATAATGGCCATTTTGCCCGCATAGAAGTTGCCCAGCGTCTCGGCCGGAATCACCTCCCAATCCTTGGGCAACTCGTCCTGGACGGTTCCGTAGACGAGCTCAGGCAAGCCACCAGACTGCTCTCCAGTAGGCTCAGCAGGGCGTACAGAGGGCTGGCTTTGCGCATAAGTGTTGTAATGGTTCTTGATCGCCTGCTTATCATCCATGACCACCTTGATCGCGAGGTCGCATGGGTAGACTGTCATGTGCATGAGCCGCTTGAGGAACCCATATGTGAAACGATGAGCTCCCATCCAACGAATATCGTCGGTCCCCAGATCAGATTCAGCAATGATTCCGAAGGACTGAGACAGAAACGACAGAGTGCGGGTGTTCCCCTGGGTGATCGACACCAGATCCAGCGGTGTCCGCAAGCCCTTCACGATGGCCAAAGCTGCCACCGAGATACTGCCAGTTCCGCACAGATTCCACGTCATGGCGTTGCCCGATCCACCCGGGAGCAGGGCCACGGCCACCTTGGCGAGCGCTTCCCGTGCATTGGGCTTTTGCGCCAATCCGTTGAAGACCTCATACGGCAGCCCGTCGCCGGAGCAGCATACAATCGCATCGTATGCGTTGATGTCGAGTTGTTGCACAATCTCCGTCGCGTGACCGCGGTGCGTGGTTTCCTGCACGTCAATCTGACAGCGTGCCGAAGCAAGGATGGGCGCTGCATATGTCGAATACAGCTTGGCAGCGTGACCCTGACCACCGAAAGGATTGATCAGGACCTTGAGTCTCTTGTTACGCTGGGCGGAGCCGTAGGCGGCATCAAGTAACTTCTTCATCCAGGTTTCGGCGGCGCTTTTCTCCTCCTCGCGGATCGAGTATTGGAGGGCGGCCACGGAGACTTCGTCTTTGTGCTTCGGCTCCGCATAGGTGATCGTTAAACCGGCCGGCGAAAGATCGGCGTCCAAGACATTGTACAAAGAAATAGTGTGGGCAATCTTGGTAGCTAGAACGGTGGGAAAATTGTCAGGCCAGGGTTGCTAGGCTTTTACTACAGTCGTGGGTTTGTGAGTTGGAGTTACCTGCATCCTTCCGAATCCGCACTGTACAGCATCCGCGCTCGGATTTGCGGCCGGAACGTTCGTCTGCGCGCACCCGAGGTTGTGGTTAGTCTCGAGAACGATGGAATCAAAATATTCAAACCAGCCGTTGAGCATCAAGACCTACCGACAACGAGCAAGGAATCGCTTCCCAAGGTAAGGGTGATCGAGTCGCCTACTGCGAGGGTCGCATCGTGCTGTAAGAGCTGATCCGAGACATCCGCGGTGTTGAAGGAGGGCCGCGAATTGCTATCGGCGGTCGTAGTAGCCATGATAAAGCCCGGCAGGAAAGCCGAGAGAGGGCGACACAGACGGAGGAGATTCGGAAGAACTGCCAATGAACAAAAGGCGAAGTAAGGACACGGGAACAAGCAATACCCAAAAACAGGATAAGAATAATCTAAGAATAAGAGCAGAGCGGGCAAGAGATAAGTCTTAGGCGAGGAGGAAAGCGACATGAAGTGGTTTAAGGTGGAAAATGGTGAAAGGGAAAGAGGGAACTGAAAGTAACCAAAGCGGAACGGAGATTATGCCCGGTCTTTATCGAGCAAGGCTCAGGAACGAACGGTCCCTCCACCGGACCCTCTCTCCCTCTCTCCACTTGATCAGTTTCGCCTCTGCGTCTCTCTCGGTCTCGCTTTCGCTCTCACTCCCTCTGTTCTACCTCTCTCGATTTTTAGACGATCCCCAGATCCGATTCCAGAATTCCCCCAATTTTGTGGAACGGAAATTGCCGTCATTTGTGGAACCAAACCAGCGTCTCTTTGGAAACACTCCACTGCTTCACCATCGGACCAATTGGTTTCAGCTCGCCATCCCGCATACTTTGGTCCAGAACTGGAACGAACGGCCTACGACAACAATGAACCCATCCGGTGTTCGTTGGAATTCGAAGAAATCTTTCATTGAGTAATAAAGTCTTTTCTCATCCGGTACAAAACAGGAAGAGGCATGATAATCAACAAAATTCGTCCATTAGAAGAACACAGAAGAGTGAATAGGTGCATAAGTTCAGATAAATCGGTGGGTCCAGCAACAACAGGGTAATGGCTATTCAAATACGAGTCAAAGGCAACACTTTATTCATGCCGCAGATGCCTTGAGGCCCTTCAGCGACCCCAGGCTCAAAGCCAGCCCCTGCGAACGACTTCTTATCCGCACAAAACCGGTGATCGGTCCATCATCACCCTCCTTCTCAATGCTCAGGTTTGCCAGAGCGTCCTCGCCTGTAGAACATGGGTCAGCAACAGGATCACAATTCGTATTGGCGGAGAGGGCCGACACTTACCAAATACGCTCCGGGCATATAGGTTGGCGCTCAGGAACCGACAGTCGCCCTTGAGGGAGGCCTCGGGAGTCAAGCAAGCCATGTTGGTGCTCTCCATGAGCTGCTTGAGGAACTCTCGAAGGCTCTTGGCCTTAGAGTTAATGTTTACCTTGTTCTCCCACTCGAACTCGGTCCACATAGTCCGGAACTGAGTCTCAGTGCAGTGCGCAGGCTGGATGTAGTCCATGATGTCTGCATGGATGTCGTTCAAGATCACCACGTGAGTTTCCGTTGAGCTAGCTCCGTCGTAGACAATGTTGCCGAAAATCACACCAGTATCCGTTGACGATACCTTGACTGTAGCCTGCACGTTCAAGAAGTCGCGGGGTCCGAGGTTGTGTGTGGTAGGTCGCTCGACAACCTTGAGGTCTCCCAGGGTTGCAAATTCGACGCTAAGGTTCTGCAGGGTCTCGAGGGTCTGGTTAACCAACAGCACATCAAGAACAATATCGAACTGATGAACTGTAACGTAAGCCTCGGCATAAACGGCATCCGAGAAGCCTGTCAGCTGGACGACCCGGCTCAACTTTGAGGACACAGTCTCCACGGTCGAGTCACCGCCAGTGGCCTTGGCGAGATCCAGTTCGATTTCCTCCGCGCCTTCAAGGGCTGCTTTCTTCGTAAACTGCCGGATCGGAATAGCGTCATCAACTTGCACAGCAGTCTTGGCTTTCTCAACAGCTTCCTTGGCGGCTCTCTTCTTATCCTCAACCTGAACCATGGCGCGGAACGCTTTCCGGGTGTCTTCCAAGAAGGTGGTCTCCAGCTCCTTCTTCTCAGAGAACTCGGCAAGTGAGCGCACACAGCACATGATGCGATCTACTGAGTCTTCATCAATAGGTGCCTTGACAAAGTGAGACTGGCCCACGCGGATAATGGAGATCATGATGAGCATAGCCTCTGCCCGCAGAGCGTTAGTACGGGCGGCGTCCTGGGAGACCTCCGAGTGGCGCATAACCAACTTGGTGAGAGTGGAAGAAAGGACAGTGGCCAGATAGTAGTCACCGTCCAGGATCAATTGACGAAGAGGAGGCTTCTGCGCGGCCTTGACAGCTTCAAGGCGGGCAGCAGCAGCCGACTGGCTAGTGAGAGCACTCTCCGTGGCATACGTGCCGTCAGCCAACACCTTGCGGGATCCGGTCGGAGCAGCCGGCTTGCTGTGACCATTGGGCTGATCCTTGAAAGTAGCATCTTCCGGTACCTCGTCAAGGAGACGTTGTTCCGAGGCGAGAATGGGGATTTCTCCAAGACTTGCTCTGATACGCTTCCATGCCTCGCGGATATCGCGTTCCTCCAGAGAGTATTCACCAACAACCCATAGAACGCCCCGGTAGACCTTGCCCGCACGAACTTCGCTCAAGGTCGAGACCAACCGGTCGACGATGGAGTGTCTGAGGGCGGGGAACTTCTCTACAACCTCCTTCACGAAAGATATCACGTCAACGGCGGAGTTGTTGTTGAAGTCGGCGATGAAGTCCATCAAAAGGTCGACAACGCTTGCAGCAATCTCCGAGAAACGAATGGCGCAGTTGTGTATCGACTGGATCAGCAGCTGGCGGTATTCACTGTTCTGCATATGCTGTTAGCTTTGGATCTCTCAAAACAGGACGATAACCTTACCTTCTCATATTGTTCATCAACAGTCTTTGCGAGCTCCTTCTTCAGCAGCATAACAATCTCCTCAACATTCTTGCTTGACACCATCTCCAGAGCGATGCCGAGTGCCTTACGGCGAACGTCAATGTCGGGACTGGAGAGGACACGGAGGATCTCCATGGTGAGATCATCCAGAACACCCTCGTTGCGAATGCGCAGCTGATCAACGCGGTCGAGAACAATGAGCTTGACGTTGTTGTCGGCCTCCTTGATGCAGAGTTCAATCAGCTTGCCTGCTGCAGCCTTCACGGCGACCGGGTTGCTGGTGAGTGCCGTCAGAGAAGTCGCAGCCTCATAGATGACAGTGCTGGTCGAGGCGTCCAGAAGATCAAAGATCAAACGCAGATATCTCGCCTATAAGCAGCCGTTAGCAGCCTCCGCAACCGTTGACTCTCTGCAACCAA